CTGTATCCTTTGCTGTGTAAAAGCTTCTTATCTTGATGAAGTCCCAATAGTTCATTTTTGCTTTTGTTTCTTTTGCCTTTGTGGATGTGTCTTGCAAGAAGTTACTGTGGCCAAGTTCAAAAAGGGTGTTGCCTGTGCTCTCCTCTAGGATTTTGATGGAATCTTGTCTCACATTTAGATCTTTCATCCATTTTGAGTTTCTCTTTGTGTATGGTGCAAGAGAGTGGTCTAGTTTCATTCTTCTGCATGTGGATGTCCAATTTTCCCAGCACCATTTATTGAAGAGACTGTCTTTCTTCCAGTGGATAGTCTTTCCTCCTTTATCGAATATTAGTTGACCATAAAGTTCAGGGTCCACTTCTGGGTTCTCTATTCTATTCCATTGATCTATGTGTCTGTTTTTGTGCCAGTACCACACTGTCTTGGTGACCACAGCTTTGTAGTACAACCTGAAATCTGGCATTGTGATGCCCCCAGGTATGGTTTTCTTTTTTAAAATTCCCCTGGCTATTCGGGGTCTTTTCTGATTCCACACAAATCTTAAAATAATTTGTTATAACTCTCTGAAGAAAGTCCATGGTATTTTGATAGGGATTGCATTAAACGTGTAAATTGCTCTGGGTAACACTGACATTTTCACAATATTAATTCTGCCAATCCATGAGCATGGAATATTTTTCCATCTCTTTGTGTCTTCCTCAATTTCTTTCAGAAGTGTTCTATAGTTTTTAGGGTATAGATCCTTCACCTCTTTGGTTAGGTTTATTCCTAGGTATCTTATGCTTTTGGGTGCAATTGTCAATGGGATTGACTCCTTAATTTCTCTTTCTTCAGTCTCATTGTTAGTGTATAGGAATGCCATTGATTTCTGGGCATTGATTTTGTATCCTGCCACGCTACCAAATTGCTGTATGAGTTCTAGCAATCTTGGGGTGGAGGCTTTTGAGTTTTCTACGTAGAGTATCATGTCATCGGCGAAGAGGGAGAGTTTGACTTCTTCTTTGCCAATTTGAATGCCTTTAATGTCTTTTTGTTGTCTGATTGCTGAGGCTAGGACTTCCAGTACTATGTTGAATAGCAGTGGTGAGAGTGGATATCCCTGTCTTGTTCCTGATCTTAGGGGAAAGGCTCCCAGTGCTTCCCTATTGAGAATGATATTTGCTGTGGGCTTTTCGTAGATGGCTTTTAAGATGTTTATTTCCCTATTTGTTTGTGTCATCATTTTCTTTGAACAATGCCTTTAAGTTTCATAGTTCAGGTCTTTTACCTCCTTCATTAAATTTATTCATAGGTATTTTATTATTTTTGGTGTGATTGTAGATGGAATTGTTTCTAAGTTTATCTTTCTGCTACTTCATTATTAGAGTATACAAATGTAACAGATTTTGTTATATTGATTTTATATCCTGAACCTGTACTGAATTCATTGATTACTTCCACTAATAGTTTTTAGTGGAACCTTGAGTATCTATTATCTATGTAACTAACTAACTAACTAACTAACTAACTAACTATATATATATATATATATATATATATATATATATATATATATATATAGTTCTATTCTTCCTGGACATATATATATATATATATATATATATATATATATATATATCATGTCATCTGAATTTGTGACAGTTTTACTTCTTCCTTACCAATATGAATCCCTTTTGCTCCTTTTTTTCTCATCCAGTTGCTGTGCTAAGATTTCCAGTAGAGTGTTGAATAACATTGATGAGAATGGACATCCTTGTCTTGTTCCTGATTGTACAGGAAAGACCCCGTGTTTTTCACCTTTGGGTATGCTGTAAACTCTGGGTTTTTCATATATGGCCTTTATTATGTTGAGGCATATTTCTCCTAAATCCACTTTTTTGAGAGTTTTTACTATGAATGGATGTTGTATTTTGTCAGATACTTTTTCTGCATCTTCCAAGGTGGTCATGCAGTTTTTAATCCTTCTTCTTACTTATTTGATGCATCACTTTGATTGATTTGTGAATACTGTACCACTCTTATATCCCCGGGAAGAAATCTCACTTGATTATGCTGCATAATTTTTAATGTATCATTGAATTCTATTGGCTAATATTTTGTTGAGTATTTTTGCATCTACATTCATCAGAGAAATTGGCCTATAGTATCTTTATTTGGTTTTAGTATCAGGTTAGACCTGGCTTCATTGGATGAATTTGAGATTTCCTCCTTTTTTAATTTTTGGAATAATTTGAAAATAATATGCATTAACTTTTCTTTAAATGTTTGACAGAATTCACTGGAGAGGCCATCTGGTCCTGGACTTTTGTTTGTTAGGAGCGTTAGATTGCTTATTCAATTTTATTGCTAGTAATTGGTCTATTCAACCTCCCCTTTACTTCCTTATTCAGTTTGGAAGATTGTTTATGTTTTCAGGTATTTATCTCTTTCTTCTGGGTTGTCCAGTTTGTTGGTCTGTATTTTTTTGTAGTAGTCTCTTATACTCCATTGTATTTCTGTGGTGTCAATTATTTCTTCTCCTTTATTTCTGCTTTCATTTATTTGAATCCTCTCTATTATTCCTTGATGATTCTAACATTTTGTCAAATTTTTTTACTTTTTTAAAAATCAGCTCTTAGTTTTATTGTTTTTTCTATTGTTTTTAGTCTATTTTTTTTTTTATTTTGCCATAATCATTATTTTTTTCTACTAGCTTAGGGATCAATTTGTTATTTTTCTAGTTCCTTCAGATGTAAGATTGGATTCTTTATTTGAGATTTTCTTATTTCTTGAAGTAGGCCTATATTTCTATAAACTTCCCACTTAGAACTGCTTTTTCTACACCCCAAGGATTTTGGAGCATTCTGTTTTCATTTTCATTTCTGTCCATGTATTTTTTTTATTCCGTCTGTGATTCCTTAGTTGACTTATAAATTGTTTAGCCTCTGTGTGTTTGTGTTCTTTCCAATTATTTTTCTTGTAACTGATTTCTTTCTTTCTTTCTTTCTTTCTTTCTTTCTTTCTTTCTTTCTTCTTTCTTTCTTTCTTTCTTTCTCTCTTTCTTTTTTTCTTTTTTTCTTTTTTTTACTGATTTCCAGGTCTATATCATTGTGGTTCATCTGCTTGGGGCTTTCTATTCTTCCTGGACTTGGATGTCTGTTCTCTTGCTCATATTAAGGAAGTTTTCAACTATTATTTCTTCAAATAACTTTTCTTTTCCTTCTTTCTCTTGTCTCCCTCTGGGATCCTTAAAAGTCAAATACTATTACTCCTTATGATGCCATGGAGTTTCCTTAACCATTTTGCACTTTTTATTCTTTTTTCTCCTTCCCACTAAGCCTGGTTGCCTTCCATTACATTATCTTCCAGATTCTGCATCCTCTAGTCTGTTATTGATTTCTCCAGTATATTTTTTAAAATTTCAGTTATTGAATTCTTCGTCTCTGACTCATTCTTTTTGTACTTTCCATTTCTTTATTGAAGATCTAACAAATTATCCACACTTTTCTCAAGTCCAGAGATTTGACTATTACTTTGAATTATTTATCATACATTGGTTATTTTCATTTTATTTAGCGCTTTTGCTGTAATTTTGTCTTGTTCCTTCATTTGGGAAATATTTCTCTGTGTCTTCATTTTGCCTATCTCCTATGTTTGTTTATATATATTAGGTAGGTCAGGTATGTTTCCTGGTATTGAAAGTAGTGACCTTGTGAAGAAGAGGTCCTGTGGTACACCACAGCACAATCCCCCCTGGTCACCAGAACCATGTGCTCCAGGGCTGCCCTTTTATTTGCTGTGTATACCTGCTGTTGTGGCTAATCTGCAGTTGCTTCCAGCCCAGCCAGCTGCAATGACCCAGTTTGCCTGCTGTGGGCACACTGGACAAAGTTTGGTCTTTTGACACACGTTTGAGGGTCTTTTCTGAGGTTACTGGGGGCTCATTTGTGGATGAGGCCAACAGTCAAACCAAATGTCTGCAATTAGACACTCTGCCAGTTTCGGATGCATGAAGTTGTTAAGGCTTGCTCCCTGCACAGGCAGCTAAGAGGCTATCTGCTGGAACCATGGGCATGCTGATGTATGAAGTTATCTCCCACCCCCTTTCCAGGGTCAGAGTCACTTTGGAGAGATACCTACTGAGGTGGGTCGGTCCACTGGAGAATGCTGTTGTTGGGTACACCATTTTAGCAAGGTAGATGGAGAGTATTTGTACTAGTTCCTACTAGAATAGGCATTTAGCCCACTGGTATTGAAATTAAGCCACACTGGTATTGAAAGCCCAGTGTTATATGCCATTTTCCCAGTGCAGGTGCCCAGTGCTAGGAGTGCCCAGCTCAAGGGAGTCTGATTCTCCTGTTTTTCCATGCTTGTGATGCCTCTCCCTTTTGTGGTCAGTCCCACTAAAGGCTCAGTTCCCATTTGTGTCTCCAACCCTCTTATGCTTTTCAGTGTGCCCTCCTCTCCACAAATAACTGTGGAAGGTCTGTTCTGCCAGTCTTCAGGTCATTTTCAGAGTTGGTTGAATAGATGTAGCTGCTATCTCAGTATGCCTGTGGGACAGAGTGAGCTCAAGATTCTCCTACCCCATCATCTTACACTACTCTGGGCTAGCTCTCAACAAATTCCTAAAAAAATAAAACCCAAATAAAGATTCAACATTTACTGAAAGCTATGTTTTAAGTAATTTAATATGTAGTATTAGCTTTTGGGAGGCAGTTTAGTTGAGCTTAGATTCTACTAGATGCCATTTGTCTTTTCATACATGTTGCTTGCAAAGTTCCTTAATCCTCCATTAGATACTGGTTTAAATATTCACACCACACCAACCCAGGAAATGCTGGTATAATTAATCTTCAATCCAAGTCTGAAACCTAACATTTTACTTATTCAATTTCATTTTATTAGATTGATGCTAAGACCTACAATGCTATAATTCTAAGACTTAAGAAAAATAACAGTCTGCTGGAAGATTTAGTTGATATGTATTTACATGATCTTTTCTCTTTTTTTCTTTATAGGTCGAAAATTTAAAAAGTTCAATAAAGTCAGAGTTATGAGAACATTGGATACTGTTGCTCTCCCACAACCTGTGGGCATTCCAAATGAAAGCCAAGCTCTAAGCCAAAGAATATCTTTTTCACCAAGTCAAGATATACAGTTAATTCCCCCATTGATTAACCTGCTAATGAGCATTGAACCAGATGTGATCTATGCAGGACATGACAACACCAAACCTGATACCTCCAGTTCTTTGCTGACGAGTCTTAATCAACTAGGCGAGAGACAACTTCTTTCAGTAGTCAAGTGGTCTAAATCATTGCCAGGTAATAATAATTTGTATATAAGATACAATGAAAATTTTACCATATTTCTTGTACTAGTAGATTGTTAAAGTCTGTACGGTAAATTAAACATTGTATAAACAGCATGTGATAGTATGCATTTCAGCAGTTCAAAATACTTGTCTAGGATCCTACTGTGTCCTATGGAAATACCAAAGTCATATATAATACTTTGAGTCTTGATGATTCGAGAATTACATGCATGAAGCATTCAGGTAACAGCATAAGTTTATGTGTTCAAGCACAGATGTTATAGAAATTTAGAGAAAGACAAATTGACCATCTTAAAAGTGTTTAGTTCATTCTAAGTGCTTATTTAACCAACCTCAAACAGCTGAAAATAAAACTGAATGTGTCTATTCATATAACACATTATATGAATAGTATAATAAAATTTATGGATAGTATTCAGAGTAGAGTGGGGTATTTAAAGTTATTTAAGAAACATAATTTACAGAGGCACCTGAATGGCTCAGTGGTTGAGCGTCTGCCTTTGGCTCAGGTCATGATACTAGGGTCCTGGGAGGGAGTTCCCACATCAGGCTCTCCACAGGGTGCCTGCTTCTCTCTCTGCCTATGTCTCTGACTCTCTTTCTGTGTCCCTCATGAATATATAAATAAAATCTTTTAAAAAGAGAAACATAATTTACAAATATATATAAATAATTTGGGTATAGGCAAATGAATTTCCTTCTAGTCACTATTTTCTCTAATTTATTTCAGACAAAGCAGATAACAGTGAGAATCTGGCTTGTACCATCATGAAAGAATTTAAATCACTTTATTTAAAAATTAGTTTTGCTTCCTCAGCACAAAGCCATACAAGGATGCAGCTTTTACTTGGCTAAATCCGAGACTACAGAGCCAGGAGAATACATGGGTAGCCATTAATCCCATAATTAAAAATAGTGCATTTTTAAAAATTATATTCTCTTCACACCAAAGATATTCTTATACTTTTTTGGACCCGTTGATTTTTCCAGTATCTGATCAAGAATTAAGCATATTGTGCCATTTAGTCTCCAGGTAAATTCAGTAGTCTTTCTTAAAGATTCTTTTCTCAATTTTCCTTAATATACTTTTGTTATTATTTTGCCTGAAGGATTTGAAATTCAATAGATCACTTGTTATTCAAAATTCAAGGTTATGTGAAACAGAAAGAAAAATAGATTCCTATTTGTTGGATCTTTTTTAAACAATACAGGTTGAGAAAAAATGTAATAAAATTCACTGCTCTATGGAGATAATAAGTAATTTTATAGAGAAATCCAAATACCCAAGTTCTTATTAGCTTCATTGTTGCTGAAAGTCTTGGGCAGGTAATTTTTTTAACATTAGAAAATTTCTGAATTTTTAAAACTTACTGTAAAGTGGTTATCAAATTTGATAAATATTAAATTAAGATATTACAATAGGATTGATTTTTTTTTCTGTTTAAAAGTAGGAGTATTTAAACATGGGTTTAACTTTTCTTAGTTTTTATATTATTTAGAAAAGATAGTTTCTTTGATTTTGATTGATATGGCTTACTTTTTTTGCATTTTGGAGGTTCTTTACTGTTGAAAAATATTCTACTATCAGTTGGTAAAGTTAGAAAAGAACCAGTTATAGCATAAAAGATAGTGTATTCACTTTGGGTAAAAGCTAGTGAACATTTTAAGTTGGAATATTTACCTGTGAAGATTTTTCATTTTCTTTTTTTTTAAGATTTTATTTATTCATTCATGAGAGACACACAGAGAGAGGCAGAGACACAGGCAGAGAGGCTCCATTCAGGGAGCCCAATGCTGGGACTCCAGGATCACGTCCTGGGGTGAAGGCAGTTGCTCAACTGCTGAGCCACCAATGCCTCCTACCTGTGAAGATTTTTTTCATCCTCACATTCTCAAAAGAATGGGAGGAAATTTTTACACTGAATTTAGAGGCAATTTTTTTAATGTTGCAAAAATGTAATTTGTATGTAAGTAAAAAAGAATGGTGGCATCCACTAGTATTATAGGTACCATTTCCATTAACTGTAACAATAAGAGAAGCTTACTCGATAATCTAATTTGATAATTTAAATGAGCAAATGACTGTGTGGCCCATGATCTACGTATGCATGGTCTGCATACAGCATGAATGATGAAAATGGTCAATGAAACAGAGTGATTATATTTAACTCTTTGAAAGGGCTCATACATGTAAAGTAATCTGGTATCATTAGCTAATCAAAACTTTTCAATTGACTTTAAGCTAGAATACAGTTTTGACTCACTTGATTCAGTCAGTAAGTGTCTGTTGCATACCTGCTCTGTGCATGGCCTAATGATTAAACAATAGTGTTAGAAAGGAAAGCCAGAAGTGTGGGCTCATAGTGTGAACACATTTTAGTGCAACACATCATAGCATTGGGTCATCAATTTTGCACATGAGAGAAACGTATTTTATCCATTCACTCTACATGTTGCTTGGCCTATGAAAGATAAAACTTTTGTTAAATGAGACCTATTAAGTCAGGATGTCATGAACAAGGGATAGTGGAAAGGGAGGTGCAGGGAGATGGGATGATTGGGTGACAGGCACTGAGCGGGGCACTTGACGGGATGAGCACTGGGTGTTATGCTACATGTTGGCAAATCGAACTCCAATAAAAAATATACAAAAAAATTAAGTCAGAATGTCAGTTTACTTATTTATAGTGCAAAAGAGATGCTGCTAGTAAAACATGTTGACAGGTCAATACAATAGGAAAGAATATTTTGGAAGTCAGATTAAGATCAGATGCAAAATAATCATAACTAAGGTAACAATGTGCCAGAAGGCTCAAAGGCATATAAGTACAGGTCCCCGAAGGGATGCTAGTTGCCTGGTCAAGGCCTCTTCATTTCTTCTTTGTCTGCGCTCTTCTATTATCTTGGCCCATTATAGTAATTGCAGCTTGTCTTACATCTCTCATGATATTTTAGAGATATCATTGCTCCTAATAATGGAGACTTGCAAGATGCTTTAGTCTCATAACACATTTAAAATGACCTCTTAGGGGATCCCTGGGTGGCTTTAGCGGTTTGGCGTCTGCCTTTGGCCCAGGGCACGATCCTGGAGTCCCAGGATCGAGTCCCACATCAGGCTCCCGACATGGAGCCTGCTTCTCCCTCTGCCTGTGTCTCTGCCTCTCTCTCTCTCTCTCTCTGTCTGTCTGTCTATCATGAATGAATAAATAAATAAAAATCTTAAAAAAATGATCTCTTAGGACACGTTACATCTGACATATTATATCTATTATGTGAATGATTTTTTTACTTTTAGCTATAACTTCAGTTATAGCTAAAATATTTTATTATTTTGAGTTTGAAGTAACACAATATTTGCAAAATTTAAAAAAATGAACAAGATAAAGTTCAGGAGAATGGAGGAAGTGGAGGATCTTGAGCTCACTTCATCCTAGGAATACACACTATATCTGTATAACTCACTCTGAAAATGACATGAAGCCCAGCAGAACATAGCTTCCACAGTTATTCGTGGAGATGAGGCCACATTGAAAATAAGAAGAGGGCAGAAACATGGTTGAGATCCAAAGCCCCAGCAAGACTAACCACAAATGGGAGAGACATTACAAGCACAGAGAAATGACAGGAACAGGCCCCCTACTGGACACCCTCAGCACTGGGGACAAGCACTGGGAAGATGAATCCTCATAACCTCTAGCTTTGAAAACCAACAGGGGTTAACTTGGCAAGCTTTGAAAATCAATTGGGCCTAACTCTGGATATATTAAAAAAATCAGTGGGCTTAGCTCTAGGAGGGCTAAAGGCGAATAAGAAACTAATCTTCCCTCCTTAAAGAGTTAATATAATAAATAACCCAACTGACCCAACACAGCATATAGCAGCAGTTTGAATAGTACCTGGGGTATATGTGGAGAGTATATTACTAATCTTAGAACATGGGCTAGAGGAACATAGATCTACAGGAGATTTCTTCAGGAACAAAAGTGCTGGCAGACACCATCTCTCTTCTTCTCCACCAGCCTCACTCTAGACTGCTAGATACTTTTGGATACCAGAAGGAGCACCACCTATCTTACTAGCAGCATGTACCCAATTTATGTTCCCAGGCAGACTCACCCCTTCCATCTTGCCCACTTCAGCAAGCATTCCTCAAAAGGGATCCTGCCCTGACACACTGTGCAGCAGCCCCAGGAGGGACTGACACCACTCCAAAGTAACTCCTGCCCTGGGGATAGTAGGAAATAACCCCACACCCAGCACATGGGCAGTTCCAGCAGCTGACCATTTTAGCTGGCCACACAGTGATAACACCCTGTTTACTTTGCCTGTAGCTGTGGCAGACATACTGAGTGGAAAAATCTGGTCTGACTGCCAGCCCCAACTACCACAGAAAGCTCCTCAGGGGGCCACATATGGAGAGCACTCTGCCAACTGATGTCCATTTAATTGCAGCACAGAGTGCAAACAGCTAGCCTGACTGCTGGCATTGCCCTCCAACAAGCCCATGGTTATCTCAGACACACCCCACAGAAGCACAGGGACCAAACCCTGTCCTATGAAACCACAACAGGTAAAGCCAGTCATTGCAGCTGACTGGACTAAGAATTAAGTCAGCTAGTGGCTCAGCCACAAATGTAGTGCTCACACAGCCCATATCCAGGAGACACCTCTGGAGCACATGGTTCTGGTGAACAGGGGACATTGACTACTAGACACCACAAGACCTCTTCCTCACAAGGCCACTACTTTTAATACCAGGAAACATAGCTAACCATCCTAATGCCTATAAACAAACAGAGTTAGACAGAATGTGGCAGAGGAATATGCCCCAAATGAAAGAACTGGACAAAATCACAGCAAAAGAACTAAATGAAATGGAAATAAGTATTATGCCTGTTAAAAAAATTCAGTAATGCCATAAAGCTATTCACTGGACTTGAAAAAAGTGTGGAAGGGAGTGCCTGGATGGCTCAGTCAGTTAAGCATCTG